CGGGCCCTGCGGGACTCGCGCGCGGAGCCGGGCCGGGCGGGCCGCAGCCCTGGCGGGGCCGGGCCCGGCCGCCCTCGGGCTCTTCTCCCGCCCTGCTGCTCTCCTGGCCGCTTCCGTGGCCAGGGCTGACCCCGGCGCTCTCGCGTCCGTAGTCCCCGGGCTGTGGCCGCAGTTAGGTGGCTGAAGTCGGGCTCTCTGGACGGCTTTTGGCTGGTAGCGCTCTGCTCCGCGGGAGCGTGCAGCTCCCGTGTCAGCGCCTGTGTGCTCCCAGCAGGCAGCGAATTTTCTGTTCCCCTCAAACCCGCTCCACGCCAGCTTTAAGCAGTTGCACACACTCTCCCTTTGCATTTATCATCACATGTTAAACAGAAATACTGCAACTAGATTTGGAGTGAGGTTTTTTTCTGTTGACATCCGCTAATAAACTTCAACAGATCGAGGAAATCAGAGTCACTTCTGTTGAGGCAGTTTCATTTTCCTGTTTTCCCAGTCCGTGGAGGGTTTCACATGTGCCTCTATAGTGCTTGTTTCCCAACTGCACCCTCCAAAGTGTGACTGTGCTCACCAGAACGTGGCTGGTGGGGATATAGTAGAAGTGTTTTGGAGTTCTTTTTGTACAGATGGCTCTCTGTCAATGACCACTCAGATTTTAAGGATAACTATCACAATGCACATAATTCATATTAATTAATAAAAACTCGATTAAGTGCAGTGGTTGCTGTCCTGAGAATTGTGTTACAGGCCTTTGAACGTGTGAGGTGTTGAGTAAAGACACAGGAGCTGGAGCTTGGAGGAAAGGACCCTTCTTCCCCTGTTAGGTCACGTTCTCCTGCCTGCTCTGCCTTCTCAGTGGTCCTTTCAAGCTGCTGACTTTGCATTTTGTCTTTGGCTGGAGGAACGAGGCAAATGCTTTCCCTTTCGAGCCGGGGCAGCTCCGTGAGAGAACGGTTATGTGCTCGTGGAGGGGCACACGGGGCAGGGCTGGGCTGCAGGGACAGCCTTGGGGACAGGCTGTTGTTCCCCGGCACCTGCTGGCCACGTTGTGTCTGGTGCATTGTTCCCGATGTCCCCTGGGCTGGTGACAGCTGTCTCGTGTCCCCAGTGCTGGGAGCAGGGCCCCAGCGTGCAGTGTGGCTGCTGGGGCTGGCTGCAGAGGCGTGCTGCAGGAGTGCTGCATGTCTGCAGTGAGCCCAGAACTCGGGCTGGGCAGCTCTGTGGCTGGGATTGCAGCTCATGGGCTGCCCTCAGAGCGCCCTGCAGTGCTGGGGAAGGACACAGATCCCTGTGCTGGTGGCAAGGGCAGTGCCCGGGTGCTGGCAGTGGCACTGCAGGCTCTGTGGTCCCTGTGCCCTGCAGGGAAGGCAGGGGACAGCTCTCTGTCCATGCTGACCCCTCGCTGGGGGCTGGGAATGTGCCTCAGTACTGCCTTCACTCATCTGGGGAGCACAGTTTGCTGAAACTTGATTTGTGGAGTCTTAATGTGTTCCTGTTTGTCTGTAAAGCACTGGAATGTATGTGATACCTTGAGGTCATGGTGGTTTAGCAACAGAGCCTAAACACTTACTGAAGATGGAAAATGCTCATCTGTCTTCAAAAGCAGCACTGACCCAGAGGAAGAAGTGGTAACAAATGTCCCTGTAACCCAAAAAGTCATAGGGCTGGTCCTGGCAATTAGACAGGTAGACAGATTAGATATTTGTGTCTATTAAGCAGGTAGAAATTCTTAACAAGGGGACAAACCCACCCCTTGGCCTGGAAGGAGTGTTAGGATGTGGGGCTCTGAGAGAGGGGGATCCTGTGTTGCTGATGATGTGGCTTTCCCACACACCCCATTACTGTATGAATAAAAAGAAGGGGTTGGGTTTAATAAGGCTGTTCATAGGAGACTCCACTCCGTGTGTCCATCCTGCAGACTGAGGTGTCCTGCAGGAATGCTCAGCTGCCAGAGGTGATCCAGCAGGAATCCAGGGCTTCCTCAGAGGCTCCTGCCCTGCCTGGGCTGCAGTTACACGACAGGCCTTGCACATACTGCTGTCCTGCAGATTTGGGGTTTATAATGAGTCAAACCCAGCTGCAGGATGGTGTTTCTGTAACTTTCACCCTGGGAAAGGTTTAATGACCTCACTTAACCCACTTTCTCTCACAGTTCAGTGTAGTGTGTCTGTTGCA